AGCAAGAAAATCTTAGGATTTTTTTCTTTTCTTTTTTGAAGTTGGAAATTGCTGATTGACCACCATATCATAATTGAACATCGATGTAATTGCTATGCCGTCATGCTACATCTATATTATCATTTACATTTTTTTACACTTTATCACGTAACAATACATCATTAGACAATTTAAATTTTACACAGTTTTTTCACTCAATCAACCGTTGTTGACATTGACAATATCAACAATCATGTCAATGAAAGGATGTATGAGTGTCATTTTCCATTGCTATATGGCACTATAAAAGCAAAAAACAATAAAATGAGGGTTATAGAACTGCCTTTAGATTAAGTCCTTGTTTGAGCCCTCAGGGAAATGTATTTTGGAATAATGATTTTTTCAAAGGATATATGATTAAAAAATAAGGGAGCTTTCGATTTATGTGTAAAATTATTTTATGAGAAAATGTGTGACTGAAAATGAATTTTGGGAGAAATGGGGACCGCACTATTTTCACACTATTATGATATGGCTTATTAGTAAGTTGGCATGCAACTTATCCATTACGTAGAAGATATGTTGAAGTCTGACTCTCCACTAGGAAATTATCACCAATTTTAGAGATGATAGGTGATAGAATGATGAAATTTTAAACTAAATTGAAATTCCCTATCGAAACTAAGTTGAAGTTCAAAGACTCAATTGAGACAAATTAAATTTTGATGATCCCATTAAATTTTCGTCGAAAGTTCAATGATCGCAAATAAAACTTTCCCATAAGATTTATAAATTATGGTGACTCTCAAGGATGACCATGTTTTCTTCCCGCATGACTCTTACATTGGCAAGGTTGTCCGAACGAGCATTGAGTCTATGACACAAACAATGAAAGTTCTCAAAGAATAATATTATCCAGTATTAGTGGTGTTAGAATATCAGTTTAGATGAATACATTTCATATGTCCAACTAAATAAATCATGTGAATTAGTATTTAAGTAAATCTATCGTTTAATGTCATTCAATTGCCGTCTAGATTGGCACTGACACCAATAATAATGAATATCATTACTCATTCTCAAATAATGCCCAAATTAGACTTCCAGTATCTTCGCCTTTCAATATTAAAAAAGATTAAATTAGTTGTATACATTTGAGGTACATTAATTTTGACATTTCATGTATTATCAAAATCTGTGTAGTTAATTGTCTAAAGTATTATTACAATCAAAGTGTAAAAAACTATCACTTCACAATAATGTCAAATTCAATATCAACAAAATGTAAATGTAGCATGATGGATATAACAATAGTTCTATGCATTTGTCCACTAAGAAGAGGACGTCCTCGGGGCAGGTTTCTTAATGGGAGAATGAGCCCTTGAAAAGTTAAAAACTAAAGGAACTTCAATACCAGACATAATTTAAGTTTTTGGCATCCGATGATTTGACTGGCATCCGATGATTTGACTACAAAGTTCATAAAGTACAAGAGCGTGACAATATTTGCTAATTTTGATGATTGCTGGAGTGTGTTTGATGTACATTTTGTTGGGAATTTACTTAACA